GGGGGGGGGGGGGGTGTCCTGTCCCTGTCCCTTTATAACTGGAGGCAGCACTCCCCAAGGTGGGAGCACATGGAGGTAATTCCTCCCGCTTACCTTGGTCAGAGCCTTCCCGGTCGTGTAACATGCGCCCAATCAGTGGCTAAGTCCGTGGTTTTCAACCACCGGTCAGTGGACCATCGCTGGTCCGTGGGGGGGGGGGGCGGAGGGGCTGCACCCCGCTGGCCACGGACCAGTGCAAGGACTCGCTCTGCTCCACCGCCTCTTCCTCAGCTGGCATCATGCTCACGGGGGTGCAGCGGTGCCACGGCGGGGGCAAGGGGGGAGAGTCGGCTCCGTGGGAACTGGCTGGGAGCCACACCGTGCTGATTTCTGTATTTTGTTCTTTTCTTGGCATTTGTTGTTGCTCAGTTTCTGGTTGTTTTGGAGAATTTTCCCCTCCCTCCCTCCCTCCCTCTTTCTTTCTTTCTGGTATCGCATTTGGAAATTAATGCACAGAATAATGTCTTTCTATAGGCATGTCGTTAGTGGAGCCGGCTGGAGCCAGGGGTCAGACTAGATGGCCCAGGAGGTCCTTTCTGACTTGCTCTGTTTCTGGGTTTCTGTTTTGTGTCTGGTGCTTTTTGTTCCTGCCTCTGTGGTCCCCGAGGCGGTTTTCCTGTTTCCACCAGTCCGCAGCTGCGGAAAGGTCGAAAACCACTGCCTGCTGTAACAGAGTATGAAGATGAGCGGGACGTGGGAGAGGGAGGGGCACACGGAAAATGGAAGAGCCGAGGCGTGCGCCGGTCAGCAGCAACTACTCTGAAGACAAGAACGGCACAGTCATTGATAATAGAATGGAATGCCAAGTATGGAAACACTGAGGGACAGACAACAGGCGGGCAGAAAGGCAGGCGGGAAGGAAATCACTGAGGGTGGGGATGCCTACTGGCTAGACGAAAACGTGTGGCGATCGCATGCTGCTTCCTTCCATGCAGACGAGCGCGGGTGCATTCGCGGCACCTCAGTCCCGCCGCACGAACTGCCCGTGTGGTGTCGGCGTCCCCGCGTGCTCCTCGCCTCCCGCACGGGCCTGACTGACACCTTCGATCCTTCCATTGCAGCCTGCGACCAGCTCGCCCTGGGTGTGGTAGCAATATTTGGCCCTTCGCAGGGCTCCTGCACCAACGCAGTCCAGTCCATTTGCAATGCCCTGGAAGTCCCCCACATACAGCTGCGCTGGAAGCATCACCCTCTGGACAATAAGGACACGTTCTATGTCAACCTCTACCCGGACTATGCCTCCCTCAGCCACGCCATCCTGGACCTTGTACAGTACCTGAAGTGGAGGTCAGCCACTGTGGTGTACGATGACAGCACAGGTAAGTGCCCTTGACCGCCCCACCTGCCTGCAAAATTTAGCAGTGTGCGTTTCAATATTGTGCAAAGAAAGTTTTGTTTCTGCCTTTGTTCTGTTGTGATTTTATTGCATTGAACTTTCAGTTTCTCACTTTGAGGGCCTTGATGGGCAGAAAAGCAGTTTATAAGTAATGTTTCCCAGATTACTTCAGAGTGGCCAGAAAACATTGTGAAATGGGTGCTTTCTACATAATCTAAAATTGCACTGGCAGCTGTGCGAGCTGAACTCAGCAATGTCACTGGGAAGGCTTGACTGCCGCCATGGGATTCCCTTTTCCTTAATCAGTCCACCCTCTCCTTCTCTTGCGCACCACAACCTCCGCTTCCTGGCAAAAGATGGGTCCCAGCCTCCCACAGCGCATCTCTGCCAAAGTGCCACTGTGGATCTAAACTGCGTCTCTCTGGCCAACTGACTGCCTGAAACCGCTTCAGGACACCAAGCCAGACCACTGGCTGGTCTTGCTAGCCCAGCTGTTTCCCAGTCGGGGAAAATGGCAGTTTACTGAGATGGAGGTGAAGGAAGTGCCTCTCCCACCTGCACTGGCACACCTGTTCCCAGCACGAGCAGGAGGGTTTGGAGCTCGCGCCGCAGCTGGCGCTGACGAGGTGGGGAGGTGGAGGAGAAGATGAACCAGCCACAGCTCAGCACCACCAGTGTGACTGTCCGCCCAGGATCCGGACCCAGACTTGGAAAACCAAGCATTCAGACCCCGATCCCCGGTGGACAGAGGCCTGTTCCCCCACCTGCTCCGTCGACTGTTGATCCTGAAGATGAGAGGCGGTGTATGTGCTCTTTCTCTCCAGGCTCTCGGGCAGGGGAGCCTCACCTGTCCAGCCACGCCGCCATTCCCTGCTGGACTTTGGCAGCAAACCGCGGGTGGCTTTGCCGCCTCTGCCCATCGCTGCCTCCGTCAGTGCAGGGACGCCCTGAAGGGCAGGGGCCGCATGCACCGAGCAGCCTGTAGCTTGGCCCCTGCTGCTTGCACTGCCAGCGCTGGGCTGGGGTCGGAGGCTGAATGTGCTCTGCGCTGAATGACGGGCGGCGGCGCCATTCGGAAGGGCCGATCCTTTGCCACAGCCGCATCCTCCCTTGCTCACTCGAGAGAGGAAAAAGCGCTTCTGCGTGCGGGTGCTGTAAGGTCCCCCCCACCCGCCCCCAGGCACCGCCGAGCGCTCTGCCGAGGTAGCCAGGCATTGGACTGGGCTGGCTTGTTTGCTGCAGGGGATTTCTGGCCAGTGCAATATCGTAATAGCAGGCAGTTCTGTGTGCTCCTGACAGTGGAATTAATTAGCTCCAAGAAATCAATTTGTCAGAAATGTCAAGCCCATCTGACCTTGGAAGTGCAGCTTCCTGTGATTCCACGCCCGTGATCTCCTTGCCCGGCACCGTCTGGAGCGCTGGCACTGAACCTGCAGGCAGAGCTGCACTGTGCGCCCAGCGGACGGCAGCCTGTGAGGGCCACGTTCCCGCAGGTGGCCCCCCTTGCGGACATGCAGCCGCCAGCCGAGTTCTCCTGCCATGCGGGTGCGGGTGGTGCAGGTTGTTGTGGGGCTCACAACTGGCACATCACCCGCAGCCTGTTGTAGGGTGGTGTGGCAGCCAGGTCTGCATGACACAACGGCCCTTGGTGTGGGGGGGCGTCTTTGTAATGGCAGCCGGCACACACTGCAGCTTCCTGAGGGCTAATTAACCATCCACAGCTCCATTGCCTAGTGGGGATGTCGGCTTGCAGAAGAGGAGCCCAGGGGCCCGCTGAGCTAGCGGTGGAGCCGCCAGCCGTGGGCCTGCTCAGGAGGCGAGGCCGAGGGCCAGGGGAGATTCCCCAGGGGAGGCGACCTGCTCCGTTTCCGCTGTCCGCACAGAAGCGGCCTCCACGTGGGAGCCTGCCGCTCCCGGGCTGCAGCGCTTGCTGCCGTGAGGCATCATCTCATGCGCTCGTGGCAGTGGCGCTTGGAGGAGAGGAGGCTGGAGCCGGGAGCCGGGATGCTGGAAGGTCACCACTACCGAGCCTGCTTTCTGGGTGCAAGGCAGGGTTGGCGCTGCCCTTCCGGCTGCCTGCCCTCTGCCTTGATGCAAGTGGTGCCCACTCTCCTAAATTGGGTGGCCTCCCCAAGCCTGGTGCCCTCCAGGAAGCCCCCCTTCTCTCCCCGCTTTCCTGGTGGCGACTCCCCATGGAGCTTGCCAGCTGGGGCAGATGGGCCTATAGCCCAGACACACTGTGGATCAGGCCAGGGCCAGGCATGAGGGGCCGCAGAAGGAGAGGCTTGCCTGTGGGGAGGAAGCTGTGCCGGGAGGGCTTCTGCCCCACACGCTCATCGCCACCTACCGCTGGCTGCAGGGGAGCATGAGCATTCCCTTCTGGGGTAAAAGGGCTCTTGGTTGGGGCGGGGACGCCTGTGCCCGGCTGTGCTGAGGACTCTGTGCTCTTCCTTGCTTTCCCAAAGGCCTCATCCGGCTGCAAGAGCTGATCATGGCGCCGTCCAGATACAACATCCGCTTGAAAATCCGCCAGCTGCCCCTCGACACAGAGGACGCCCGGCCCTTGCTCAAGGAGATGAAGCGGGGGCGGGAGTTCCGGATCATCTTCGACTGCACCCACACAATGGCGGTACACATCCTCAGGCAGGTGGGCATTCTGCGCATGTGGGAGCCGCGTGTTGGGGAGTGTGAGGCATGCGCTGTGCCTGCGGCCACTTGCGCATGGCCCGAGCTCGCAGCCTTGCTCTGGCCACGTGGATCGTGCCTTTTGCCTGGCTGGGCAGAATGTCCGTCGGTCGCTCCCTGAAGGTCCCTGACTTCCACTTGTATGGGAGAGGGAGAGGGAGGGGAAATCCTACTTTGGGCCCAGCACAGCCACTGAGAGGCCTTTGGAGCCTGGGTGTGGAGGCCGCAGCAGAGCGCAGGGAGTGCGGGAGAGCGGCAAGGGAGCCGGGGAAGGGGAGCGGGGAGCCGGGAGGTGCACTGGACCAGTGCAGCTCTGGCCAAGCAAAAGGGCTGAGAGGACCTGTGGGTTGATTCGGTGGGTAGCAAGTCTATGGAGGGCGGGCGGGCGGGCTGGCTGGCTGGCTGAGGGCGGGGCGGGGCACTGGCTGCCCACGAGGCCCCCTGTGGGCCCTGCATGGATGTTGGCGGCACTGACCGCAGGCGCTGACCGGAGGTGCGGCAGGGCACCGTCCTTGTTGCACCATCCCCTTAGCTACCCCTGAGTGGCCTGGGGTGCCCTTCCCCGTGGACCTGCCTTCCCCGCGGAGCAGGGTGCCACGAGCCTCAAGTGGGGCGGGGCAGGGCAGGCAAGGCAAGTCGGGGGGCGGGAGGAGCTATCAGACTCGCTGTGGGGTGGCCTCTGCCAGACCAGAAGAAGGCCGTGGCCGGTGTTGCAACCACCTGTGGCTTCTGTGCCACGTTTGCCCACGTCCCCAGGAGATGTTGGAAGGCACGTCGGTGTCCCTCCTCGAGGGGATGGTGGGGGCCTGGAGGATGTCAACACTTCCCCGTGGGGGGGGGAGCAGCTCCTGGGTGCTGCCTGGGGGTCCCCCAGGCCATCTGGGATCAGCCCCTTTCTGGGCAGCAAGAAGAGGAAGCGGCCCCCAGGGACCAGCCAGGGAGACATGGAGGCCTGTCCCCCACGGGAGGCAGAGCCACCCCCTCCATCGCCTGGTGCAGATCTGGGGTTGAGGAATCAGGTTCCTCCGCTTCAGCAGGCTGAGCCTGCGGGTCCCCTGGGGGACCGGCCTGCGCAGGAGGCCCAGCCTGGGAGCCCCTGCCAAGGGGTGATAGGTGCCACAGGGACAGGATGGAGACAAATGGCTGGAGAGCGGCACTTGTGAAAGGGACCTCGGGGTGCTGGTCAACAGCCCCTTCTGACTCGGCCTGCTCCTGTGTTTCTGACCTCTGCCCGCGTCCTGCACTCCGCGCCCAACGCCACAGAGGGCGATCAGGTCCACCCCCGCAGCCTTTTTTCCTGAGCAAACACTCCACAAATGGGGTTGCCAGTCTGGTTGTGTGACACGCACCTTTCCTGCCTCAAAGGTGTCCTGTGTGAGTTGGCAGCCCGAATGGTGCACAGCGCTGGGGCAGAGGACAGGGAGGCTGTGCGCTGGTGCCTGGCTGGGCTGGGGATGGCGAGTGGATGGTGAGCCTAGCGGCTTGGAGGAAAAGCGGGCTGTGGCCCTTCCGCCTGGGGAAGAGTCTGGGGAGAGGTCGGCTGGGTCTCCAAATATCTAACGTCCTCTAGCTGTGGATCTCAGAAAGGAAAGGTTGGGATTGGAGGTATTTGAATTCTGTTGGGAGGGGTGGGAAAGGGCCAGAGGAAGAGCCCCCAGCAGATGCAGAGCGGTGTTCTGTCTGCGGGGCTTTCCACGCAGACAAGAGCCGGCTGCCGTCTCAGCAGCCTTGGCTAAATCCATTCCATCTGCGCTTTGCAGATGGTCTGGCATCTTTTGTTCTGCTCTCTGCTCCCTGCCAGAATCAGATGTTTTGTATGCTTATTGCATGCATTTGCGGATGCGTGTTTGTGCAGTTGTGCATGTGCACATCTGTGTTGGTGTCCCCGAGTCTTCAGCATCCAGGTGACTTGAGAGAAGTCACTCCACTGCAGAATCTTCAGGCCAAATTCACGGGAATCTTAATTCAGTGGCATATGTGCCAGATTTCTCCAGCGTCGCTGCTGGCCAGGCCATCCGTGGGCTCCGTTGCCAGATAGATGGCAGCAAGCTTCCGGAAGGGGGGCCACATGCTCACCGGAGCGGCACTCTTCCCACATGGGAAGCCCCCGTGGAGGTTGCTGGGCCGTCTGCTCCATTCCCTGCTGAAGGAGACTGCGCTGGGGAGGGGAGGGCCGTGAGCAGCCTGGGAGACCCTGGGGGGGTCCCTCTTGTAGGTGGGCACAGGGATCATGTGTCGCTTGCCCGCCACTTGTGTGTGGACTGATCTGAGACTTGTACTTTTAAGGAGGAGGAAAAGCCGTATGGGCGCTCAGCTTGCTGGGCCAGGGTTCTAGAACATCTCTGAGGACACGGGCTTCCTTTCAAATGAGAGCTTTGAAAAAGAACGTTTATTTTGCATACATCAGGAAGGAGAAGAAACTATTTCCATCTTGAAGAGCAGAAGTTTAGGACAGGTTTGTCCCCACCCCCCAGCCTGTCTGGAAATACCCCGTGTTGGCTTCCCCAAATTTTCTCTCAACAAGCAATCGGTATATTTGTAAAACTTTTCCTGAGTAAGATGTAAATAACTTTTCTCAGGTGAAACATCTCAGTTTCAAATTAATGCATGATAACTGATGCTCTGTTTTTGTCTTTAGAATTCTCATCTGGATTGCATAGGGAAAGTGAAAATCCAAGCTACTCAATCTGCGTTCCACTCATATTAGCCATGGCTAAATCCCAAAATGCTTTTGGATTTCTAAATTATTGTCGGGAACACATAGATCCCTAACAAAGAAAAGTGGGATCACTGACTCATGCAAGGAACGCAGATGCAAGGTGCCTTCCCCCAAGCCATTGTGTAACCTTAAACTGAGGTCTCTGTACTGGCAACAGTGGAGAAGGCAGCCAGGAAAATTTAAGCCCCTGCACCTCTTGTTTGACATCAGGAGCAGCTGATGCATGAAGAACCAGAGACCCTGCCCCCCCACCCCCGGCACAGGAGAGCCGGGGCACTCGGCTGTTGGTTGCCCTTTCTGAACTCATCTGCTTGCTGGTTGTGCAACATCTGTCGCTACCGGCTGTACCTTTGCTTAAGACAGGTGTTGGATCCCCCGCCCCCAGCAGGTCCTCGGCTAACATGGTTTTAAGTGCAGCTTTGCCAAACCAGCGTTGTTCTGGCGTTCTGACCCTGTTGCCTGCTCCCCCTTCTGCTCTCCAGCCTTGCGTCTGCTGTTGTGAACAACAGAGAAGGTTTAATTGAAGCCACATCTTAGGACTAGCAGGCTAGCAATGGAAGGAATCATGGGACAGTGCACTTGGAAGGGGTCATGAAGGTCATTGGGTCCACCCCCCTGCTGTGGCAGGACACCCATTCACACCATCCCACCCAGATGGCTGCCCAGTTTCGCCTTGAATGTCCCCGGTGTGGGAGAGCCCACCACCTCCCCAGGCAGCTAGTTCCACTGTCGTCTTGCTCTGACAATGAGGAAGCTTTTCCTGATGTCCAGCCTGAATCTGGGTTCTTGCAACTTGAATTGATTATTCCGTGTCCTGCACTCCGGCATCAGCGAGAAGAGATCCTGACCTTCCCCTTTGGGACAGCCTTTGAGGTACTTCTAGAGGGATATCATGTCTCCCCTCAGTCTTCTCTGCTCAAGGCTGAGCATGCCCAGTTCTCTCAGTGTCTCCTTACACGGCAGTGTTTGCAAACCCTGGGTCATTCTTGTTGCCTTTCTCTAACTTTTCTGCATCTTTCTTAAATCTTGATGCCTGGTATTCCAGTTGAGGTCTGACTACTGAGGAGTGTAGGGGAACTACTGTGTCTTGGGATTTGGAAGTAATACTTCTATTTATGTTATGTTACTCGTGAAGTCGTGCCTGACTCATCGTGACCCTATGGACAATATTCCTCCAGGCCTTCCTGTCCTCCACCATCCTCCAGAGTCCACTCAAGCTCACACCAACTGCTCCAGTGACTCCATCCAGCCACCTCATTCTCTGCTGTCCCCTTCTTTTGCCATGAATTGTTCCCAGCAGTAGGCTCTTCTCCAGGGAGTCCTTCCTTCTCATTAGGTGGCCAAAGTATTTGAGTTTCATCTTCAGGATCTGGCCTTCTAAAGAGCAGTCAGGGTCGATCTCCTCTAGGACTGACCGGTTTGATCGCCTTGTGGTCCAAGGGACTCGCAGGAGTCTCCTCCAGCACCACAGTTCAAAGGCCTCAATCCTTTTGTGCTCAGCCTTCCTTATGGTCCAACTTTCACAGCCATACATTGCAACTGGGAAAACCACAGCCTTGACTACACGCACTTTTGCCCACAGGGTGATGTCTCTGCTTTTAGTATGCTGTCTAGATTTGCCATAGCTTTCCTCCCAAGGAGCAAGTGTCTTCTAATTTCTTGGCTGCATTCACCATCTGCGGTGATCTTGGAGTCCAAGAAAATAAAATCTGTCACTACCGCCATTTCTTCCCCATCTATTTGCCAGGAAGTGAGAGGACCAGATGCCATGATCTTAGTTTTCTTAATGTTGAGTTTCAAGCCAACTTTTGCGCTCTCCTCCTTCACCTGCATCAAGAGGCTCTTTAGTTCCTCTTCACTTTCTGCCATGAGAGTGGCATCATCTGCATATCTGAGGTTGATGATATTTCTCCCAGCAATCTTAATTCCAACTGGTGATTCATCTAGGCCCGCCTCTCTCATGATGTGCTCTGCATATAAGTTAAATAGGCAGGGTGACAGTATACAGCCTTGCCGAACTCCTTTCTCAATTTTGAACCAATCAGTGGTTCCGTGTCCAGTTTTCAGTGTTGCTTCTTGACCCACATATAGGTTTCTCAAGAGACAAATAAGATGATCTGGTACTCCCATCTCTTTAAGAACTTGCCACAAGTCTTTTGCCTCTTGGCGGAGCAGCAGAGGCAGAGGCTGGGAGAGAGGGCTGAGTGGCCAGCGGCCTGGCGAAGGCAAGGCAGGGGCTGGGC